AGTCAAATTTTTTTTAATGACCTCTATTCAAATTTACAAGTATATACTTGTACTCTTGTATACAATCTTACAATATGGCCATAACAGTTTTTATTTCACTTGCAAAGGCAGTGATCTTAAATGAGAGCAACAATCAATGAATTAGTAAAAAACCAGTACAGACCTGCTTTTCATAAAAATCTCTGACCATCGTCACACACAGCATTATTTTTACAAAGCAAGTGCTTGCATATACATCAAACACTACATTTTTTCGATGTAAGGAAAAGAAAAAATGAACAATGCAAACAATGCATAGGGTTTGTACTTGATGTCTGGGCACAGATTCATGAATCATGAAAAATAAGTTCTGAATAGGAATGAATATACAACAGATTTTTGAATCTTACATTTAATGCATAATGATATCATACTTTCATATGAAATTATTTGCATAGCATGAAGCTCCAACTTACTGTTTTTATAAAAATATACTGTTACTTTTTTAAAGGCCAAGTCAATTATATATGTATAAAAGATACTCAAATTTAAATCAAATTTCAAAATGCAACGAAATAGTTAAATACACCTATTTTATATATTTGTGAGTGAAGAACATTTTTCTAGATTTTAACACATTTTGATGATTCCTTTAAATTTTGATACTTTCTATTAGACAATAAGAAAGCAGTCAAAAACAAATTCATATTATTTCTGAATCTCTATGTCTAGAAGCTATATTCAAAAAATTAATTTAAGGGTACAATATAATTTAAAATATTAAAATAAAATTGGTCCAAGAGATTAAAATTAATTTTTAGGTATTTAATTATTTATGAATAAATAAAAATATAATTTTAGGGACAGATTTTATAGTAACTCAAATTAACACAAAAAATACCAGTTTATTAGTCAAAATCTAACACTTTTCAGAAATGGGTTCACAAAAATAATATAAATATGGGAAAAATTACTTCATGTTTGGTTTTACTATTCACATTTATTATAAAGGAATAAAGGTGGGGGGGGACATGTTACATTTTTATAGAAATATAATCGGTTATTCAAATTATTTTTATTACTAATTTTTGTCTTCACAAAAAATATACTTCATATAAACCATTTTAAAATTAACTGGTCAAAATAGTTATGCAGTTTTAACATTTTTCTTTTCCGCAAATTAAAGACACGGTGACATAAAAAGAAGGAAATATAATATTTTTTACAGAACTATACCATTTTTATATAATGATAATGCTTTTGAACAATAAATAAGATGAAATCCAACATTCTAGATCAACAATAATTACATTTACTTTCCTTGAATTTAACAAGACGGAAATTAAGGCATCAAAGAAAATTATAAATATTACAGATATATGGAAAATTTTCTAACAATAAAATGTAAATCATACAGCACAGCAAGCTCAAATTACTTAAAGCAATTCATTTCAAGTTCATAAATTAACACCACAGAAAAAAGTAGCCAAAATTAAATGACCTGCAGACTGGCTGTTTTTAGTGACTCTTAGTTATAGCCCATTTTGTGCATGTATAAATTCATAAATATATGCAAATACATACATATGAGTAAATATATTAGCATGAGCATAAATATTATATTTTCATAAAGATACCATACATACTAATTTAATATAAATACTAAGATATTATATTTATATTTGAATGGAATTGCTACTGTTTCATAGTGCTCCTGTTTTACTTTCAGGGGCCACAGCTAGTACTGCAGATCATTCTTACAGGAGGAAGTCTACACAATGGTTCCAAAACAGAATTATTATGGGTACCTTCTAAAACTGCAATAACTGCTAAGAAAAACAAAAAGATCACTGTATATTATTTGTTTAAAAAAATATTCTGACAAAGGCTATGATAAAATAAGAACTTTTGACATGCACACTAAGCAGAACATTTATAAACAGAAAAATCAAATAAATGATGAACACAGGTGGGGTACATTTATAAGCACACAGTCTACTTTTAGTGTGTGATGATGTTAAGAGTTTGCATTAAAATTTCTGTGAACAGTACAAAAATGATAAATAAAATTCTAAATTATAACAATGTTATTCACTTGCTATATGCACAAGAGTCCATTAATAAAAAATCAAACTTCTTTCAATTTGTCAACCTGTTCTATCATAAATGTACACATATATATAAAAATATATTTATAATTTTTTATGTATAATATTTATATTATTTATGTATATACACTATGCATGGAATGAAATATCATTCACAGAAAAAATGGTAAAAGTATCACGATCTTTTAAAAAAAAATCTTAAAGAATGGATGTTTATACATTTATATACAAACAAATCATTTACACATGTATACAGCATTTTCCTGCAGAAACTGCCAGTATTAATAAGAAACTATACAAAGTCTACTAAAATTCAGAAGGGAAAAGAGAACTTTTTTGGTATTGCTGAAACTGGTATCACTTCAGATGGTATACAATTTTTCTTTTGAATTCCTACCCATACTGTCTGCAATTTTCTCTATTGTAACTATCATAAACTGATAAATGAGAGCATGACTACAAAATTTTATAAGCCATATTTCATGCAAATGCAGTAAAATACCACACCTGAATATAGACATTTCTATTACAATACTGCATTTGAAACTTAAAATTTGCATCAGTTAGCTGTATATTCTTTTCTAATTACATTTCCTCTCTCCCCCCAGTTTTTTTATAAGCACTACAAATTTAGAGAACAAAACAAAATCATCCTGTAATGTTTCTACAGCAGCAAATTCAATATTAAAAATTCTGAAGTCTAAACATATACTTCATGTTGCATAATAATCAATATATTAACACAAAATCATATTCCTATAATTAAGAGAAGGGGGAGTATTATCAAATTTTTACTAATTTACATTTTTCTCCGTTTTGCTTTGAAATAATATAAATAAAACACTTTTACACTTGCAAATGAGATTCTTTTACAATTTACAATGAATTTATAGCAAGATCCTGCTTCATTTCACTATACTTCGCATTTGATTTCAGTGTAAATACATCAAGTTTACAAGACTTCCCATTATAATATGAAAAAATTCATGGTATGTTTTACATTAATTTTTGCCTCAACTGTATTTTTAATTTAGTTTTCTGTCTGGAAACAGGAATATTAACGATATTAAAACATGAATGTTAAAGAATTCCCACTGAGTAGAAAATAAAACTATTGCTTTTAATAGAGGCATAAAGTAATACACATAAGTCTAGAATTATGGTAATTTTACCATAAATCTGAAGGCATTCTTCATTTTTAAATCTTCAAATACACAAAATTGAATATTAAAAAACATAACATATAAAACTAAAATAAGTTCACTAAAGCCATATTTTAAGATATAGTACTACACATCATATACGGAGGAAATTAAAATTTAATTTTCAATGAAATTTAAAAATGAAAGCACTACTACCACACATCATATACAGGAAAAATGAAGATTTAAGGATGAAAGCACTAATATTTATTGCTGCTACTTTATATCAATAAACTAATATTTAAATTTTAGGACTTTCCAATAATTTGTCCATACTATTTCAACAATACACATACACATTCTTCAATGCAGGTTTAACTGTATACTGTCTAACAGCTGTGCTATTTACAAAGCAGAAAATGTGAAAACACCTTGGTACTTTGTGCTAATTTCTCATCCATTAGTTTGTCAATTCAAAATCTAATCTATTTTACCATTCTGTCAGAAGCAATTGTAACATTCTACACATAACTTAATTTGTACAATATAAACATTCATAACAACTAGTCAAATAAATATGCATATAAATCATCCCATAGAAATAATAATAATATTACAATTACACAAATCTGAATTTTTTATAGCACAGTGATCAGCAACTTTCAAGATGAAAATATTAGAGATTTATAAATCATAAATTTTTTTAACATGCTAGCAAATTTATAAAAGAAGATAAATAATTACCCGATTAAGAGAAAAATATTCCGGTGAATATTAATTCTATTAAACTTACAAAACATTTTGCAGATTTTCAATTTTTACTGCTATGAGTAGTCAGAGAATTTTATAAGAAAAAAGTAAAAAAATGAAGATAGCATTCCAAGAGAAGTGTATTCACATCGTCAGTATTCCTTTGAATTTAAAATCTCACTATGTGCAAGATAGTCATCCATCATTATAACTGAATTTCTTAATCAGAAGGCTTGAATTTAGTTTATTATTTATTTATTTTTTGTAATTAAGTCCAATAAGGAAGGCAGATAAAAAATGCAAGTCATAAAATAAAATTAATTTGTCCATACTAATACACTACAGTGAAATAAGTTGACTACATATTTATAGAATGAGGTTGCCATCATTTATAAGAAAATGGTCCAATTTAATTTACATTAATTTTCCCACTAGCAACACCCCCCATGGGAAAAAGTATTGTACTTAGCAACAAGGTTTTAGTATATATGTTACAGTGATACTACAAAATCTGGAGAATGTCGACTTTCACCGGTGAATGTCAACATTCACATAGTCTCTTGGTGTATGTCCGAAATATTTTCCTTACTTCTGACTTACACTGGTCAATGTCGACATTCACCATGTACTAATGGTGAATGTTGAACATATAACAATATTATATTTTCTTCTCCGTAATTCAGTCGCGAATAAACACACTTGAGACTTGAAACAAAAACCTAAGAACATGAGAACCTAAAACACACAATACATTCAAAATGAGAAAGCAAAATAATAGAAGTTAAAAACTTACTTAATTATACAGTACGTTCTAAATGAGAAAATAAAATAAGAGTAATAAAAAAATTTACTAAATTATGTGATTCAAATCTTATTTATTGCAACAACTTAAACTATTATGGCACTTTATGACCTCTCTTTTCGACTTTCACCAGAGCATATCTGTGATTGTCGACATACACCGGTGAGGGTCCGAATATACAAGAATGTAGTGAAATATTCGGTCTTTCACCGACGTATTTGGTGAATGTTGATATTCTCCTGTGAAAGTCGATATTCTCCAATTTCGGTCTTTCACAGTAACATATACAGGACATGAAGATTTATAACATATTTTGACTGTTCATTTTAATTTGAAAATGCAACAAACAGTATAACAAGTAATATGAGAAAGTAAGAAGTGCATTGCCATATATTAAGTCTTTTCCATCTTAACACAACAGACAACAAACCTTCACCTTCTCTTCTAATTCATCACTTACCTAACTTGCAATGGCTTTGGCTAACAAACCATCATCTCCATCATTGTGTCTCTAATGTTCATACGACTTTTCTAATTCTGGATAATGAAATTACATTTTTTATTCATTATTTCTTATTGATATAGATTGTAAATTTTTATTTTGTTTTGCTTTTACCACACATTAGTATTATTTTGAGTTTGATACATTATCTGGCAAGTTAGTTTCTATTAATCTCAGCTCACTCAGCAAATTTTCACAAATAAATTATTGGTAACTGTCATTTTTGTTTTACATTATTTCAGATTATGAAAGGTTACACAGGAATGCTGCATATTCAGATAACAAAGAGAACATGTATATCAATTAGCAGATGATAAAGGTCTCTGTTAAAAAGCTTTAATCATGATAAACAATAACATTTTGAAATATATTTTTCAAAAAGTTAATCTAGAAAAGAAATATTTTACCACTTAAAAAAATATAGCCAAATTAGTGAAGAATTTAAGTATATATTGGAATTAGACTTATGGGGGGGACTTCAAAGTAAACTATAATTAATTTAGAAGTGGATAAACTCTATATCTACTTAACGATAGAAAGCAAAAGATTCTAGTTATTAAACACATATGAACATTAGTTTATCCCTGGTCTATCACAGATATGTGAAACTATTTTAAAAAATGCATATATATATGCAATAGTGTACAAAATGTCATCAAATCATTTTGAATTCAGAATTGTTTATATGCATGATATGGAAAAAAATGGGCTTTTCATGAAATTGCTTTATTCAAATACTAGGGAAAGCTGAATTTTTATAATCAAATTCTCAGATTTCCTATCAAAAAAATTTGCAATTTACAAAATAGAAGAAAAAAAAACTTTTTTATTAAATACTGCTTAGATAAGATTACGTTTCACGTACACCGATCCTTCTAAAGCCTATGATTATTAAATATTCTAAATAAAATTTTTGAAAATTTCCCATATTATGCAATACGACGAACATCCTTCTGTGTTTAGAGAAGTAATGCCAGATACCTATCTACAGTCAGCAATTCATAATGGGGGAGGCAGCTATTTAAGTTTTAACATACTAAAAATTTTTAGTCTTATAAAAATACCTGCATAAAATAGTCACTATTTTCTGAATATATGTTCTGGCATAATAATATATTAAATTTATAATACGAAAGAGAAGTTTTGATGACAATGCTGAAACTTAAGATTGCTATTCAAAAAATAAATAATTAAAAAAAAATCTGGTCCAGAAATCACAAATTGTACTAAGACAAAAATTCAGTAATATTTAAGAACTGATAATTATAAGCAATGAAACAATGTGGAAATAAATAAAAAGTTGGAGAGGGGGGAATGCCAAGTTCCAAATAGTTCCAAATCTACACAATAAAAATTGCAAAATTTAAAGAAAAGCTAAACTAATGATTTTAACATGTTTGGTATATAAAAGAGTAATTATGAATGTAATATTTTACATTTGTGAAGGAGGGATTTACTTTTCTAGGTACAGAAAAAATAAATTTTGGCCATCATGAATTTGTAAAATTAGTACCATCATCAAATGAAGGTAATATGTCATATTTAAATCCTAATAACTTTAATATTCAAGGAATAACTTCAAGAAAGCAAGTTATTGATACAGGTTTGCCTTATTCCATTACAGCCCCAATTTTTTAGCATTTAACTGTGATTACAATTTTAATACCTTGTAAAATGGATTTGAAATCCAAACTACCTACTTATCCACACAGTTATATCACAACATTGGGATATTTTTGTCAAGGAGTACCTGATGGGAATAGAAATTTTGCCATAACATCTATCTTAACTTTATGCTCCCTTCTGAGAATAATAGAAAGACAATGGTAAAATTTCAAAAAATTAAAAGTACACCTATATCAGCTGAATCTTTTGGGTCAGGCATTCTGTAAGAAGCCATGGATGTGCTATCCCCCCCAAAAAATAAAAACATTAATCCTAACATATAAAATACTACGAAAACACTTTTTGCTTGCCACTTAAAAATAAATAAATAAATAAAACTCCAAACCTCTGTTGCTGTTTATTGTATAATTTTATTTAAAATACTAAAATTTGATGGCTTTTATTGATTCAAAAAATTTCTTTCGAAAATTCCTTAAAGTAATCTCATAGTTATGAACCTTAACTTATGAGGTAGTTATGAACATTAAGAAAACTTCATTTTTCGCAGTAAAAACATTTAAACACGTAATTTGAAAATAAAATTAGAAAACAGGTCCTAAAAATTCCACCAAAAAAGAAGAAAAGGCAGAACTTAGACCAAGCAAGTTGGCTGATCACTGAGCTTATCAAATTTTAATTTTCAGAATTATGTAGTGAGTAATAATGTGCATAAACCAATGATACGAATGTACTCAGTTTACTGTTAATCTAAAATTGCTGCCAAGTTTTACGTTAATACACAACAGATTTTCATCCATGCACAATTTAAATGCTTCTGTGAATCAAACACTTTTCACATAAAATATGCCTTCACTTCAGTGAAACATTAGCAACAATACCACATTTGGAAAAATAAATTATTTACTAAATACAGAAAAGCAAAGAGTGGAAATGATTATGGATTCTAAAACTTAGATGAAAAAAATGTCAACAACAAATGCTTTTACAAAAATCCGATCAAGAAATCTCACCTTTTATAAAATGACATATTAACAATGCAATTACATACTACTGTCAATAATTAATATTAAAATTATAATCTAAAATCTTTAAAATTTTATTTAATTAAAATAGCATTGAGCAAACAAACATCTTTGAGTAATGAGATATAACTATTATTAAAAAAATATACAGTTTCAATAGCAATCAAGAAAAATCTTTGAGATTTAAGTGTGATCTTTGCGTTTATAATTCAGACGATTTTAGAAATTTATAAATGCCAAATTCTGAGTGATGTTACAGTTAATATAGTTTTGTAAAATAAACTATATTAAGATATGGTTTTATTTATGCATGAAAAGTTCTCTTGTGCTGCATGGGAAAATGTTTAGGTGATTATCACAAATTGCAACTAACTGTTCCACATTCGTCACGTATATGGCCCAGCACCATAGTTCATATGAATTCTTCGAAACCCACCTCGAGTTCGCATTCGAGGCCAATGTCCTGGAGGATGAGAATATCGCGGACGTAGCATAGGTGGAGGCATACGTGGGAAATCACCTATCCAGTTGGGGATGATGCCCCTATTATAAATAGTAGCATCAGTTTTCCACCTCTGCGATTCCGGATCTGTTGTATCCTTTTTCAGTTTTAAGACTAGTCTCTCTGACTGCTGTTGTGCATCCCCATTGATTGGAGGTCTTGGATTGGAAGTTATCACTTGGCTTGGCCTTGGTTCTAGCTTCCTCCATGAGGACTTAGCTTTGTGATAACCACCTACACCACTTGTTGTGATATCTGGCAGTGGAGAAAGAGGAGAATTTCCCCGCTTCAAGTCCAAGCTATTCTCTTCAGGTTTATCAGACCTTGGTTTTTTTGGAATCTTATATCCCCGCAGCATGTCCTTTTTTGGCATAGGTAATTCTCGGGACGTATTTTTCCCACTAGTCAAACATTCTTTTGGCTCTGAAACATCTTCTTCCAACTTTACCACAGAAGCAGTTTTTTCCTGGCACTTTGTTAATGAAGATGATTGATGTTTATTCACAGATACAGATGATACTGAATGAGAATTACTCATATGTTTAGATTTTAATGCACATGATTTTGATGTTACTGATTTATCCTGTGAATTATACTTAGGGCTAGGCTTATTATATTTAATGATTCCATTCTCTGATACTTTATGAGGTGAAGGAGAATGAGTCCTAACAGGTGAATCGCTTTTAACAGATGGACGAATCTTGGCTTCAGATTTATCAAGTACTACAACTGGATTACAGTTCAATTCTAAGATTTTTGCATGATGAATAACAATATTATTATCTTTGCTTTCATTTGAATCATTACTTTGATTTAATAAACATTTATCAACTGAAATTTCAATATTTTTTTGCTCCATAACATCAGCATAACTTTCAGTTTTTTCTTGATCTTCAGCTTTTATACTTTCACAATGTATAGGCAAATCTATACAAGACTGGTTTTCAGTGGCACTATCAAGTTCTGATGGGACTGTAATACAAGAGTTAAGATTTAAATTTGCTTCCAACTGCTCAACAAATTGTTTCAGATCAGCTTCTGAAGCCTCGTGATTTTTCATTTCTATTTCCATAACATTAAGATAGTTTGTTGAAAGAGATTCATCAAGAGGAGAACTTATAATATTATTTACATCATTCACTAAAGCAGAATGATCTTGTATGTGGTTGACAAGATTAGATTTTTCATCTAAATTACCTTTTTTACACCTTCTTCTTTTGCCTGAAATAAAATTATTTTTTGATTTCAAATCAGAAGCTTTTGATTCCTCCTCTTTGGTAAAATTAGAACTATCTTCTACAGTTTTAAGGCCTCTGCTGGACTTACATCCATTATTGCAATCAGAAGTCTCATTATCTGACTTAATCTCCTCCTTGATTTTCATTTCTACACAACTCTCAATTAAAGATTTAGAAAGACATTCATTAGAAGAAACAGAATCAATTTCATGTTTTACAGGAGTAAATGAATTCAGAGGAGGGAAACAAATAGTTCCTTTATTATCACTATCATCCTTAAAATGGCTGTCTGAGAAATTTTTACTTGAAGAATCATCACCAATATATTTGTATGCAACTACATTTGAATAAGCATCATCACAAGAATCAACAGACTTATAACTTGTTTCAATCTGAGTAAGGAAATGATGCTGTTGATCAGAGTTCATGTCATCCCCATCTTTAGACACTTCTAAACCATCATCACTAACAAGATGATCTGAGGTCCACTGAAAACTAAGATTTACATTACTTTTATTAACTTGCAAGGAGCTGGTGCTTTGCAGATGGGATCCTCTCCTTTGTTTATCATACCATCTTTGAGAACGTTTTGCAAGCCCATTTAGGTAATGTTTAGCATATGGATTTGGAGAAGGTTCAGATCTTTCTCGATTACTTTTCCTACCTGCTTTCACTGTACCATTTAAGTGTGTTTTTGTGATATCTTCACCCACAAGGTTAGTGAGTACACTAATCATGTTGGGTGAAGGACCATTCAATCCCGTATGTTTCTTATCATATGCTAAATCCCCACAATTTGCATTTAGTACAGCTTCTTTTTCCTCTTTTGATAACTTTTCATTTTCTCTGGATAAGATATCTACTTGTTTCTGGAATATGTGCTCTTTAACCCTTAACCAGCTCTTGACAAGTTTTTCACGTTTTATCACCATGTAACACAAATTTCTTGCCTTAAAATCAAAAATAAACAAATTAAAAAAATATTTTGAAATGAACATACTTCAAGAAATTCAATTTTCAAACATTACAGAAGTCAAGCTCAAAAGTTATGTAATGCAAAGAAATAGTTACCCTTTCTAAATCTTGCCTATGATGAACAAGCTTTTTAAGAAAAGCAATAGGAGAATTCTCCTCAGTGCAACTGGTATCAGTATCAATTTTTGGTGGTAAAAGTGCACGGTTCCAATTAGCCTAAAAGAATAAATTTTTATTAAAGATTTTCAGATTTGAAATTTGATTTTTAACTGTAATATTTAGAGAGAATTAAAAAAAAACTCTTTTTAATTATGCTTTAAAAATCAGTAAAAAAATTGCTTGCAAACAAATCAAACAGAAACAAGTACTCTGCGCAAAACAAGAAAAAAAGGGGGGAGGGGCATTTCTATGCCTCCCATTCTATTGGGCCGATTGACGAAATTCAACTTGCGTTTTGCATGTCTTGAAAGCATGACTTAGGATATGTATTAGATTTACATATAGCATTGTTCTAATATAAGTCTTTTAACACAAAAATCAAACTTTTCTGAAATGACATGCCAATTTTTTTCCATATTTCGATTCTACAACTCAAATTATGTGAAACTGTCAGGTTTTGTAAAAAATCACACGAGTAGTTTTTTTAAAAAAAAAGCTCTTAAAATTTTAGCTCCTCGATGTTAATTGAATTTGGTATATTTCTGTTAATATCTCTTTTTTTATTAAACTTATTTGATTGTTCCTTTTACATTTCAATATTTTAGTTCATTCCAAATAAAATTCACCCTTTTTTATGATTTATTTTTAAAATTCGTAGTTTTAAAATTTTTTTTTAAATTTGAATTATAACCTATAAAATTTTCAACATCATCTTAAAGTAAATGTATTTCTAGGCACACCTGCAAAAAATTAGAGTTTTCATTCACAATTTTCTAAATACAGGTGCGTTTTGAAATTTGCCATATTTGTTATAAGCAATAAATAATAACGTCAAATGTGGTTTACGCACTTTGTTCAAAAATTATTTAAAAATAAAGAACGTTGACTTTTTCCTGGCTCATCACAATGAGAAAATATGGTATGTACACCACGACTTTCTTGTATGGAATATTAAATTATATGTAATTTTCCTGCATTTCATTTCAGCTTATTGAATTAATAGTTAACAAATTTTGAATTAAATCTACTTCTTCAATAGCACATAAACCACAAGAGAATAAATGCACTCTTTAAAGTTCACTATGTTTATTTACTATAGCGACACTCCGGTGCTAGGTTCACTTAACAGCATTACATCTCATTCATTTTATAACTCAGAGTGCACAAAAATTAAATCATCTGAAGAATTACCACACATTATATTCAAATACTATAATATCTAGAACGATGTATAAAAAAAATTAAACAAATTAAAAAGAAACAATTTTTCACAGACAATTCAGTGCCGCTTACCTAATGCACATAAGCTACTAATTAATTCAGTTCTCACCTCACGGCAAGGCAAAAATAAATAAAATTTCAAACTATTTTTATTAAAAACTGAAAGACATAGAAAAACATAAAACACGAAGTACAGTTAAAATAATTTTTAAAAAAATTTACAATTAAAATACAGTTTCTACAGAAAAACAAGCTAATCACTTAAATGATAATTCCTAAATGAATTAAACATACTTAATTCACAATAATAAAAGAAGGCATTACTTTGTTGCTGCAAAGCTTAGTTTCCCTAGATTGGCAACAAATCCACTATTCTGCCAAGTTTCAAATGTAAACAAATATGGCTGCGATGCTAAACAAAAATTAGGCTTAGCTGCACTTTTAAATTGTTGATAATTCCACAATTATTGCATGCAGGTTAAATAAAGGCATAAAAACCTTAACCGGAAGATAAGAACAACATAATTCAATCACTTTTAAAGCAAAAAAATGTACAATTTACAAACATATATGAAAAAAGAAATTCAGCTTACTGAGCCGAGTAACAGAGTGGATATACATATATATATATTTATATACTTTTTGGTACAGAAGATTGCAACTAAAATGGGAGGTGCATATCTATATCTTATATGAATAAAGAAACTGAGCTCACTGAGCCAAGTAACAGAGTGGATACACATATATATATTTATACACTTTCTGGTGCAGAAGATTGCAACTAAAATGGGAGGTGCACATGTATATCTTACAGCAGTCCTATATACAAAATTTAAATGTTCGGAGGCTACCTGTTTTTGAGTTACACAAGATACATATGTACATACATACAGATGCTACAAAAAATTTCTTCAGAATTCATTTTAATGTTCAGTTTTATAATGTTTTTGGTGAAAAAGATTCCTTTATTCTGTCCTTATGTACGGATATCAGGCAAAAAATATCGTTAAATTGCATTTAATAGCAGACAAAATGGATATTTTTGTTTAAATATGATACTTGAAATTTTCTGCGACTACAATACTTCCTTTTTACTTCATAAAAGGAAGTAAAAAAGGAAAAGAAAATAGGTTGCTATAAATTAAGAAGTTTGCCAAGTGAATTATTCTTGTCGCAAACGGAAATAAATGCACCAAGATAAATTTTTGAATTTCTCCCTAAATTTCTCACCAAATTTTACAAAACTTAATATTTAGCATATGGATTTGGATTTTGGATTGGAATATTTAGGCATAATCTGAGTCATAGAATCGAAATATGGAAAAAATTGGCATGTCATTTCAGAAAAAGTCCGGATTTGTGTGAAAATACCTATATTAGAACAATGCTTTTTTTATAAATCTAATATATATCCTGAGTTGCACTTTCGAGACATCAAAAATGCAATTTGAATGTCGTCAACTGGCCCAGAAAACGGGAGTTATAGAAATGTCCTATTTTTTTGGCATTGTGTACATATGTATGTATCACATATCTGGAAAAAGAGTAGCCTCAGAATGTTGAAATTTTGTATATAAGACTGCTATAACTTGCAGTTGCGGACTTCCCTTTCTAGTTGCAATTGACTGCATAAAAAAGTATATAAATTGGGTCACATTAAAAAGTCTCCATGCTTTTTTTGCTACTAGATGGTGTTGATGCCTATACATCTGGCAACACTCCCCCGATTGTCTCAAATGAACATGCGCTTAAAAGGTGAGATTCAGTTTCCATTGTTTGTGAAGATAATTTTTCAATTCATTGCTCGTGTAAAAAGTTATATGAATTTGAAACTGAGTGAAATATCTGAAGAAATACACTATGTGATGCTTTTTTACTAAAAAAAAAGGTAAAAACGCTGCAAAAACATGCTGAACAATTTGTGAAGTGTACGGTGAGAATGCAGTGAGTAAACGAAGGACCCAGGATTGGTTTGCTCAATTCTGCTCTAGGAATTTCGATGTCGAAGATGCACTTTGCTCGGGTCGGCCAGTCACTGAAAAAGTCGATAAAATTTTGCAACTGGTGGAGGAAGACTAGCATGCAAGCTGTCAGGAAATAGTGGAGGCACTAAACATCAACAACATGACAGTTTGGAATCATTTGAAAAGAGCAGGCTACAAAAAGAAGCTCGATGTTAGGGTGCCACATGAATTAACGCAAAGAAACTTGATTCACCGAGTTACCGCCAGTGAAATGCTGATGAAACGGAACGAAATCAAAGGATTTTTGGAGTGAATTATTACAGGCGATGAAAAATGGGTGAAATACAAAAATATCAAATGCAAGTGATCATGGTCAAAGGCCAGTGACCCTCCACAAACGACCTCAAAGTCTGGATTGTCACCAAATAAGGTTATGTTGAGTGTTTGGTGGGATTAAAAAAGGAATTGTCCATGAGCTGCTGCTTGGTTAGGAAGTTTCAATGTATCCACTGTATAACCCGGACCTTGCTCTGTTTCACTACCATTTGTTCCGGTCTCTGCAAAACTCTCTTGATGGTAAAAAATTGGCAGACCGAAGTGCCACAAAATCACTTAGCCAAGTTTTTCAGCAATAAACCACAGAAGTTCTACACCAATGGAATCATGAAGCTACCTCAAAAATGGCAAAAGGACATATATAATAATGGTCAATATGTACTTGATTAAAATTGATTTTCAATAAAGAAAATTTTTGCTCAAAACTGTATAAAAAAATACAGAGATTTTTTATATGACCCAATATACAGTCAAAAGTCATTAATCCGGACTCGTCGGGACTTCGGTCATTCCGGATTATAGATCATCAGTTTAAATCTGGTAAGATGGCATGCAGAAATTATAAAATTAAAAATATGAAACCATAACTTATAAAATAAAGAACAATTATGATCTAAAGGGAATCAAAATTTACAAAAAGAAAAAGCTTAATATTTATTTGTTTACTTTATTAAACATTTCTTTCAAAGTAAGTTGTTTCGTTTTATATGATAATACTTACTCTTTAATTCTATTAAACAGACATAATTTCTTGTTTAATTACAAAATTCCGCTGTTCAAGTCCTATAATTGCTGTATCGAGATCGGAAGAGAATTATAATGACGAGGAACTTGATTTAAATCATATCAAAGACGGAGTACATCGAGATGAAATACTACACTTAGTAAGGAATTATAAGCCAAATCAAATAAAAACATCTGCCCTGAAGATAAGGATATTGCTGACAGATCAACTTCCAATTCATTGCGCGCCGTGCTGTTTCCCCTTTCCCCCCTGCCGCAGAGCAGCGTGAAATTGATAAACAGATTTTGGAATGGTTAGAAAAACAAAGTATATGCCTTTATCCATTTTTTGCAGCAATTCCACTTTTTGTTTAATGGACTTCGAAAAATACTTTCGCTTTGTAGATCCTTTACATATTAGTAAATATATATCAGAAATTTTATTTGACATAATCGAAAGTTCAAGCTTATTTTTATAAAATTGCTCTAACAGTCTGCAAAAAAATAATAAGCCAGATCCAATTCGAAGATTAAGGAACAACGCAATCTGCAACATCAACTGAATTAGATAATTTTAGCTTAGCTTATACCGTCCGTTATACATTAAACGCGCATGCGTAAACGTATTATGCGCATGCGCACATGCATATCCGAAGCCGTAAAGGTCTTACGCGCACGCGTAAACGACTATGCACATGCGCAGAAAGTTTGTAACTTTGAGGTCCGGATTATGGGTGTCCGAATTAACGACTTTTGACTGTATATATACAAGTATACCCACTCTGTTGCTTGGCTCAATGAGCTCAGGTTTTTTATTCTTATATGTTGGTAATATGTGCATTTTTTGCTTTAAAAATTATTGAATTAAGTTGTTCTTATCTTCTGGTTAAGGTTTTTATGTCTTCAGTTTTTATGCATGCAATAGTTGTAGAATCATCAACAATTTAAATCCTTTAGCAGATTAAGTAAATCCTTTAGTAAAATTTAGTAAATCCTTTAGCAGATTGGATCTCTCCAAACTGCTAAAGGAAACCTATGCAGATCAAATATTTATCTAATTTTGCTTCTCAGCACAAACGAACCTGATATTTACAAACAGCATTAATTTTAGTTAAATTTAGTAAACCCTTTAGCAGATTGGATCTCTCCAATCTACTAAAGGAAACCTATGCAGATCAAATATTTATCTAATTTTGCTTCTCAGCACAAACGAACCTGATATTTACAAACAGCATTAAAAAATATAAAATGATTTTCAAAACTGGGAAGGACTAAAATTAACATTCTATTTTTTTTAATGCTGCAAAGAACTAGCAACACAGATAATTTTCTTTCTTTCTTTTTTTTTTTTTTTTTTCTAAAACTTGTAGAAAATTTTAAATCTAAAGAAAAAATTTAACTGGAACAATGAAACATTCCATAACAAAAATACCTTATTGCTATTGTCTTACTATGAAAGAATTGACAAACACATGAAATGACTTCCAGAAATAATAGCATTTAAAAATATTTCAAAATATGATACTGATATTTTAAATAATAGTAAAACACATTCGGTAAAAGTACTATCTAGAACCAGGTTCTTTTATTGACCCATTTTAAAGAAACAGTTTACTTCATCAACCCTCATATATTCTTTTTAATTAAATTAGATTAAGGATATGAATAAAAGTTTTGAAAAAATGGTTTATTAGATTTATGTTTTTCTTATAAGATCATTTAAGAATCATTATAATTTTCACTTTTTTTTTTTTTTTTTAAATAAAAGTTTCAAACTGCAGGCAAAATAACTACAGTAAGTGCTTCAAACACAGAAAATTTTTCATGCTTCTAATATTATAAGATAAGAACACACATATAAGTTTGCACATAACCTTTTAGCATATCTATGAACTCACATACATATTCAATACTACAAGATGAATGAGACTGGAAGACAAACATTAAATCCATGTAGCATTCTAGTTCATAGTAATTATACTTTGCTTCAATATTTAAAAATATATAAATAAAATAAAAGCACAGAATTAGACGGACTCTCTGAGAATTGGTTTCTATTTATGTTAAATATGGGGAAAACCATTAAATTTGCAGACAGTTTTTTTCACCAGGATTAAACTATCAGCATTCTACAATTTTAATCTTTTGGCCACTGGTGGGCTAGAATATTTTTCAAAAATTAAAGAATAATAAGGAAACTGTATAAATTAAAACAAATATAAATTCTAATGCAATTAATTTTTTTTTTTTTTTTTTTTTTTTTAAGATTTCACAATTTATTTTTCAACACATTCAATATATTTTTGCAGCAAAATTTTAAATTTATTCAATTCACCCAGATAAAAAATAACATTTAAAAAAAAAAAAAAAAAAAAAAAAACCTCTAACAATGCATCTTTGTGCTGCAAATAGCCACAGAAAAGAGGAAACAAAAATTTAGAATTCACATGTGAAGTAAACTTATTGGAATTTAAACTTTACCAAAATTCTAGATAAATCAAATACCTGAAATATTATCTTTCCCTGAATGACTTAGATCAAAATCATTTAAAACTTCAGTAAGCAAGAATGCTAATATGAAACATGACTTATGATTACAGTAATTACAATGTTTAATCCATAGTGTGAATGAACATCATCGCCTATGCTTAGAGGCAGTCCTGTTTCTATCATACACATCTATATCTTCTAAAAATTTCAAAATTTCCTAAACTATATAATAGAATATTTTTACTTAATATTTAAAAATGCAATCCATACCAAATACTTCTATGGATAATAATTACTAGCAAAACAGTATGTGCAACTCAAAATGGAATTTTTAAGTTCACTACACTCATGAAATAAGATTGATACGTTTTTATTCCCAGGGGGGGAAGGGGGAGAATAAATAAATAAAAATTAGCCTTTAAAAAAAAATATTAAAAAGATATGTTTAATTTTATTCAGGGAGAAAATTCAAGAGAAAGCATAAAAATGATTTTTAAAATCTCAATATCAGAAAAAAATTAAGTAAAAATTTACTTACTCTTCTCTTTAACTTCCAATAATTGAATATTACTTCAATATCAGTCCTGTCATATTGAAACATTTCTGCTACTTCATCAATGTTGACATAATTATAGAACTCTGCCTCTTTTTCATGTATCCTGTAATAAGAATTACAGAATATTAGCAAATGTTAGAAGAAATCACAAGATGTAAAAGAAATCACAAAGTTCGAAATGAAAAATTTATATGTCACAGTACATTTCATATACAATTATTTAAAATAACAAGACTTGCTTTTTCTTAAAACGTCCTTAACTTCTTTTATCTAGCTTAATCTTCATATAATTTTGCTCTTTATAACTATTTTTATAAATTTCTTAACTTTTGCTCAAAGAAATTGGTTATTGAAAAAGAATCATAAGATGGACTTCCAGATACGACTTCCACACAGTGGAGCTTCCAGATACGAGCACTTCAATATAAGAGAAATTTGAGATGCAAGGAAAATATGAGCAAAAAATTTGTCTCTAAGTATGAGTATTGACTGGAGTAACGAGCAAAGACTCAGGCTGTTGGTATGCGTGATGCCATTTCCTGATTCAGCTCAACTCGGGGAATACTCTTGTCAGATCATTCAGTGTTCCTTGATCTACATATTCGTGCGCTTGTGAGTTAATTGTTTATTACATTTAACGTGAAAATAATTATTTCACGATGCCTAAGAAGACAGTGCTACAAGGAAAAATAAGGAAGCCATGGCCATTGAAATTAAGAAAGAAATCATAAGCATTTTGAAAGAGTGACGGAATTAGCGGAGACTTACGGCGTTTTAACATCGACAATCTGTACTGTTCCGGAGAAGAAGGAAGAAATTTCGAAACTTGATATAGGCAAAGGAGTTACCATTACTTCCAAATACTGTGTAAAACTGAAGCTGTTGTTGGTGTGGATTAACCCTTTCAGGACGGGCGTCCCATATACGCATTCCCTAAGAACATCTCTTACAGCAGGCGTCCCATCCACGCATTGCTAGAGACTGCATTCAGAGGACGGGTAATACGTATACGCATTTTAAGCTGGAACGTTTTTCTGAAGGCCACTAGATGGCATTCTATGTCCATTACTTTTGAAATGAACACAGTTTTAGGTTCCTGACCTTGAGTTTGATATATTCTGTCTGACTTTGGTATTTTACTCATCAACTGTTGCCAGGGTGGGGTGGGGGAAGTGAAAGCATAAACAAAGGTGGGCTCTTTAAATTGCCGTGTGCTAATATGAATATTCACGTGTCTGATTTATACCAATTCCTTTTTTTATTCTATTTTTTCCTCTACTATGTATGGTCTTTTAGGTTTATTATGTGGAGTTCTGTTACGTTTTGCATTGCCTTCAAATATGTTTCCGTTTTTTCTCTTTTTATTTTGGAAAGCCTCACCTCCAGTCTATTATAATGGGAAGGCACTATTTATCAGAGGAAGAATACCGTCGTACGGTTAATGAACCATTTAACTAACGCAGATGAGAGTGATGATTCGTTTTCTGAAGATTTAAAAGTGATACTTTTTCTAAGAGTTAGAAAGTAATACTTCTCCGTACTTCGAGATTTACCACACTCAGTCTTCATTTTAAATTTTGTTACTTCTTACTGTAAATAGTCTTTATTGTGTTGTTTTATTAATTTAAGACTGTATTGATGGATTTTATCAATTAAAATTTTGGAATAATTTGAATAGCGCTTCCGAAAATTATTTTACAAGATAAGGAAATTTTTAAGTATATTTTCATGTAAAATAAAGAAAAAAACGTTATTAAGTGCTATTTTTAACATATATAAGAGCTCAAGTAACAACCTATAATGATACCAAAAATTACAAGGCTAGAAGTGAAACTTTTTTTTTTTTCTGATTTTTTTTTATAAAATTAGGCTTTGATGCAAACCTCCATCCTGTACGGTGACTGCCTTCGATTCCCTTCCGTCCCGCACAAGCGTCTTAAACAAAGGTGCGCCGTCATGAAAAGGTTACAGAGAAGCAATTAAAGTCAGTGTCGGAAGCTATCATAAAGGTAAACTATGGTTATATTATTTACCAGTGTTATTTATTAGAAAAATTGATTTTATGTTGATATTTTTGGGGATGCAGAATGGATTAACCATTATTTTCCATTATATTCAATGGGGAAATTTGTTTCAAGATACGAGAAATTTGCTATATGAGCTCAATGCCTGAATGAATTAAATTCATATCTTGAGGTTCCACTGTATGTTATTCCAAAGTTGTTAAACACACTGAAATGATTAAACTGCTAAAATATAACAATGTAACTTTTTGAGGATGTGAGGATAATTTTCGAGCATAAAGATGTGAATGAAACACTTCCCAATTCTTGAAATGCCATCTCTAACCTTACCATATATAACCTTGTACCATACAATGGTTTCAGAAAAACGATTTCTTAATTTGATAAATCAAATTTCTCACAGCAGGTGACCTACTGAAGAACTGCATCTCCCAGAAAGTCACTATATGACAATACCCTTATTTAAATTCGAATAAGTCAAGAACATAGTACATGATGTAAAGATTCATGATCTCCAAGGCTGATCCAGCCACAACAATGTAAGACCACAATTCAATGTAATAACGACAAATGGAGCTATTATTGAAACACAGAAAAGATGAAAGTGCTGAACATTATTTCATAGAACTTTCATATCAGAATCATTTTGATATATTTATCAGTTTTTGACTACAGTACAGAATCTGAAATCCAGACCTCCTGCAAAAAAAAAAAAAAAAAAAAAAAAAAAAAAGGTTTTTCTAGTCTAGGAATGTAGATTGAGTTTCACTGTAAAAGTAATTTTTCTCCTAAATCACTCAGACTTCTATATCTCAATTTGAAAGCCCTCCTCGGTAGGAAGTCCCACCATGGCCAATGACAATACACTAATTAACAATGGCCATGACCACACTTTTGGTCCTTGAGTTGTTGTGAAATATTAATAATATTAAATATTATAAATATTATCAAGTAATATTCTGCGAGTCGTGGGCTCACAGAATACGTGACCTCAGGCATTTAAAAAAGTAAAGATGCTCTCTGTCATTTATTGTTCAAACAGAAGAGCATGGGTGACACAAACATGTATGAAAGACTGATTTTTGAATATCATTTCATAAGTGAGGTTTGGCAAAGGAACATTAATGGATGATTAATTTTGAAAATTATTTCATACCCAAGGCTCAGCAAAATTTTAAATCCAATGTCACATGATGATGCTAAAATTGCCATGGTTTTAAAATAACTACCTGGCTAACTCTTCACTCGAAGTTTTAGTAAAAGACAATATCTCCCTCTTCACTAGATGCTTTAAAAATCTGCTCTAATTATAGATAACTGTTTGGCTTTGGCTTATACTTCACTTGAAATTTTAAAAAGATAACATCTTTGTCTTATTCTTTCTTCCAAATTGCATATTCATTATTCAGCCAAGAGATAATGGATTGCTGACCACACTGAAATGCAGATATTTGAACAGTGGCATGATTATTCAAAAGTTTTTTTAAAATTTTAGTATAAATTTTGCTGTGTAGAGCATTACAAGGTCATATATTTTTAAAAATGCTTGGCATAATTTATGGCCAGCTATCATATTTCATTGATGATGATGACAGTAATGCATTTGAAGATTTTCAGATATCACAAGCAAAAGGCGAAATTGTTCAGTAGATAGAATTAGTGAAGAAATATAAGGAAGTGATAATAAATGAAACTGATATAGAAGTTTTCCATTGCAGTGGAAATGGTCTGGTTATCAATTAATAAATGGACAAAGAAATCTGCAATATAGTTTAAAAATCCAGAAAATATTGCTACCAATAGTGAAGAAAGAGATAAAGAGGTTGCCGAGAATGAAAATTGTGATTGATAACTTAATGAGAATTTTTTATAAGGCAATTACATGATCTTGAACAATGCAACTTTGCAGCTAAACAAGAAATTATGTCTATCTATAAAAATAGACTGAAAGTATTAGCACAAAAAATGAAGCAGCTTAAACAACTTACAGTGAAAGGAATACTTAATAAAGTAAATAAATATGAGCTATTTTTTGTAAATTTTTATTAAGATCATAAATGCTTCATTATTTCATAAACAAGTATACCATAATTTAATTTTATGGCATCTTACTTGAGTTAAATTATTCATCTAAAATCAGAAAGTTTCCAACATTCAAAATTGATGAGGCTCTGATAATTCCAGATCTTAGCATGTTTTTACACTGGTCATAAAATTAAAGGATAATGACAGAACTAAAACATAACTGATCCTTAATGAAAATTTATTAATAGAAATTTGCACAAAAGCATTAGTTAACATAAATTACAATGTTTGGCAGTTGATTATTCACAAAATATTGAAACTAAAACAAAATTTATGGAAATCGGAAAATGATGGAAAAATTAAGTCACCTCTTGTGGAAACATTTTTTAGCAGTATGGTCACCTTGGACAGATATGCATATACCTCACCTCTTGATTTCATAGACTTACCAAAGTACTGATCAAGTTTCATGGAATTGCATGCCACTTTTCTAAAAGTGCATTTTTCAGCTCCTGTAGGGTTCGGGGAGGAATTTGGCGAGCTGAAATTTGGTACCCTAAGGTATTTCACACATGCTCAATCTTGTTCAAGTTGGATGAGTAAGGCAGCCAATCCATTAGAGTTATAGCTTCTGGTTGCAAATATTCTGACACCATATATGTTCGATGAAGCTGAGCATTATCATCCATTAGCAAAAACACTTGGCCAACTAACTAACAATCCCTATTCTAACTTGGGGCTCAAATACCTCGCCCATGGGAGTGGTTACAGAACCTCCTTGAAAGATAAGCAACTTGGTGCAGCCATTTGTCATGATCCTCCCTTCTTAAACCATTAAAATACGGTCACGAAACAGGATATTTCACAGACAAGGGAAGGCAAGTTCCATGTTTTTTCCTCTCTTCAGATGAAAACATACATAGAATCACTGTTCAGATTATATCTGCATTTGCCAGTAAAAAATACTTAGGCCCAGCTGCCTTGACTCTATTGAACATAATGATTGCATCAGTTTAAACAGGTTCCTCTGGAAGCTGGAGTGAGTGGGACAGAA